AAACAATAGTTAATATTAAAAGTAACAATATTTTTTATGCTACATTTATCCATTTTAAATACACTAACATCACTCCTTTGTAACAACTAAGGCAAAAATGTAATTAATTCCTAAAATCTTCATAGGACCCCACCTTGATTTTTCGGGACCCCACTTTGGGTCCCGACCCCAACTTTGGGAAACACTGTTATATTACAAATGCAGCCTTTATTTGAGTGCAAATTAAAAGTTTGACAATAAATTAGGTTTCTTGTAGCTCTTTTAGTTTATCTCTCCCTTTTTAAAAGAATAAATCTGCTTTTTTACCTGCTTGTCATATTAATAAAACATATGGTAAATCTTTTTTTTTTAATTATTATTATTTATTTTACCAGGATCTTTGCTTTAAGGAGTGAAGGGCYCTTTTCAGTGATTGTATAAAATATCTAATCTTACCAGACCACATGGTCAGCTTTTCAAAAGCCTCCTCCTGTGTGCTGGAGTCCTCAGTCAGGACCAGAGAGGTGTGTGTGTAAGGTAAAGGTGAGCCCAGACATGTGTTGTACTTTAGGGCCTCGCAGGTTGAGCTCTTCTTGCACAGATCCTCAAACATGGTGCCGTTTGGGGCCAACACGGCCCCGCAGCCCCACAGCCAGGCAGCCCAGACGCACAGCATCCCAGAGAGTCCAACAAAGGGACTCCCAGTCTGGGAGGACATCTTGGGTTCGGGCTCTGAAAAAAAAAAAAAACACTCCAAACAAACGACTGAGTTTGAAACTTTCAGCTCTCAGATCCCCCGACTAATCCAAGAAAATAGACTTTTTTTTTTCTTTTCTTCATCAGACGTGGAACAAGTTTCCAAACGCAACATGTTGGAAGGAAAAAAAAAGAAGTTGTTTTTAAAGTTTTCCCCTCAACTTTCCGCTGCGGGATTCCTCCATTATCCAAACTAGTCCCTTAAAAAAAGGATCATCAAGTTGAAAAATAAATAAAAAAGTTCTGATGATAAATAGATTCTACAAAATCTGAGAAGAAGAAAAGTTGCTCTGCCCTCCCCCAACTTCCAAAAAAAAAAAAAAAAAAAAATCCTTGAAAAAGTCTGGATCTGTAATCTGATCTTTGCCTCTCACGCACCACCCCTTCTTTAGACCTTTTTTTTCCCCCCTTTCTTTTTGAAATGCAAGCAAAAACTAAAAATAAGCTGAGAAATGATCCTGGATTCTCTGTTCTGGTCCCAGGAAGTGGTTTTCCTCCTGGTGGAAGATCTGATGAGAAGTCCCTGCGTGTTTTTTGTGTTGCTGCAAAGCTGCAGCTCGGTTCTGGCTGTTTTTTTTTTTTTTTTTTTTTTTTTTTTTTTGGGTCTGTCTCTCTGGTATGCACATGGTGGGGGGAGAGGGCCAAAGCAGCAAAACCTCCCTTCCCATCCCCCTTCTGCTTGTGGAAGAATGTGCCTTATGGCAGGAGTTTCTCATGTACAGGACCCCCAAAACATCAACAAAAAAGGGAAACAGATTTCCCTCTGACAGGTTTACTCATAGGAGCAAACTCATTAGTYAAAGGATCATAGCTGCACATATCCACACAGAGGCTTTAATCATGCAATCACTAACATCATCACTTTAGCACCGCATAAAAGGACTTTCCTGCTGGCTTATTTGGACTAATATAAACCAAGGAAAATGCAGAATTATTAATACTTGCAACCCTCTATTTAATTCAGACTGAGTGTTTGACTTGACCATACTTTTGCTTTGTTTTGTAATGAGTCATTCCTTACATATGCCTTTGAGCAGATATTTATTATCTTATTAGCAGCTCTTTTGTTCTAAAAGGGGAAAAAAGAAGAAAAAAATCCAAAAACCACAATATTTCCTCCACCATGCTTGCACGTTTTTACAAAAAGCCCATATCTATGAAATGACTACATAAAGTTAAAAATCTGGGCTTCCCAGAGGAAKACCCAGGACACTAGATGGACTAAGTTTAGCTGGCCTGGGAAKGACTTTGGAGWCCCCCAGAGGAGCTGGCCCAAGTGGCTGGAGAAGGGGAAGTCTGGGTCTCCCTGCTTAGGCTGCTGCCACGACCCAATCATACGTGGAAGAAAACGTATTTTTGAGATCGGAAACATGATTATGTCTCACCTATTATTACAAATTAATATAAATTTAGAAAGGTTGTCTGTGTGTTATCATGAAATGTAGCTGTTGTGCTAATTCTGGTACATATTCATAGTATTTTGATGCCTTTTTTAAGTAACAGGGCAGGGGAATAGCTTACTAAGAAACTACTTTTTGTTTGGCATGTTGTGGTGGCAGCAGAAAATTCCATCTAGTAATACAAAAAATAAGGACATAGTAGATCATTTGTTGCAACAATGGCAATTAATCGTATATAGTTGGAAAGCCTGTTAATATCCCTTTTAAATGGTGCCACATTTGTAAGGAACATGCATTTGTGAGATGAGCAGTAGAGCTAATGTGGGTTGCAAACATGACATTTTTTACAAATCCAAACAGCTCATTTTGCGGTTACAGAATGGACGCTTGTTTTGAGCTTCTGGTACCCCCAGGTGCGGTCAATCATAAGACTAATATTATTTTTTATTTACTTTTTGCCAAGAAGCATTTTTACAACAAATAATCTACTAAACACACATTTGCTTACTTTGTGTGCTTTTGAAAAGAGGTTGATCCAAAAATAAATATTTAAGCAGAAATCACTGCTGGTGTTGAATAAATTGGGACGTGCACTGTATTTTCTTTTTCGTGACTACTGATTCTTTGTTTTTCCTGTAAAAAATTTGAATTTGAATTTACTCTGGCGTGTGTGTGGGCCTTAGCAACATGACTGTCTGAGTCAGAGGCTAAAAAAAAAAAAAAAGAAAGAGGGACCACACAGTGCGATGCAGCAGTCCATACCAACACACACACATACACACACACACATTGATTCACTACAATGAGAGACACCCACTGTTTCATCTCTCAGTAAATCAGAACATTTCACTTGTTTGTGCGATCCGGCTGGTGATCCATCAGGTTCTGGTCTTTGTTAAACAGAAAGTCAGTAAAGAGGAGCAGCGACTGTAAACCAACACACAAATGTAATGTTTAGATTAGAGCCTTACGTCAGACCTGGTTCTGCTCCAAAGATTACAAGCATTAGGTTGGAAGCAGAGAAACAGAACAGCAATGAGGGGTTGGAATGGTTTTGCTTCTTCCCCCCTCAAACTTACAGAGAAGCTTCAGACATTTAAACACTTTGCTGCCAGAGCAACAAATAAAATGTATTTTTTTATGGCCTTATGAGACAGTACTGTAAACACAAGTGTTGTTTTTAATGACTACCAGTGTGGGTTTGAAGAATGCACCATGTCCACAGATCTCCTGTGAATGGGATGTATATTTGTCTTTGCTGATTATATAAACATGCATAATGGCAGTATATGAAAACATCGCGTGGCACTGACGTCACTAAGAGGTCTGCTGTAGCAAAGCATGACCACATCAAAATTAAAGCTCAGAACATGCAGCAARCTCTAAGAAAAGAGCAAAACTCAACACATAAAATACACACAAGATTGTGTTTCTACTGACTTACATTCATTTTTGTAGGATGAACCCTGACTTGTAGCTTAAATCAGACCTTAACTTTATTCACATCTAAACCTGAACGCTTTGGTGCAAAAAAGGCATACCAGTCCTGACAAGTTAGGTTCTAAACAGGTAACAAAAAACAAGTACACTGCTTTTTAAAATAGAATATATTTTAATGTTTCAGAAAAACACACACACACAAAAAGACAATTCCAGCCTAAACAACAACAACAACAAAAACAACCCAAGAACAGCAAGAGAGCAAAAAC